AACCAGCTGCATGCCACAAATTTCGTACCCCCCCCTTTCCCAATCCCCCCCTTTCGTCCGGCCCGATCTGGCGTCCCCACACAGCCTGACTGGAAGTCGCTCCTCCTCCTCCTCCTCCTGCTCCTCCTCCTGCTCCTCCTCCTCCTCCTCCATCCTTTTCCTTCCTCTTCCTCCTCCTCCTCCTCCTCCTCCTGCTCCTCCTCCTCCTCCTCCTCCTCCTCCTCCTCGCCGCCGGGAGGTCGCTCCTGACTGGAAGCCCTGGGGACGCCGCCCGGCAGGGACTGCTCTCCACCGCTCGGACGTCCGTCCCCCGAGCAATTTTGTTCGAGGTCGCGCGCGGCTTTTTTGCCCGGGGTGGCCAAGACGCTCCTCGAGGGTCCCCGCCGAGGGCGACCACTCCCCGCGCAGCTCTCGATGTCGTGAAAGCTGATCTTTCGCGAGAGGGCCGAGGCGCTCCTCGAGGGTCCCCGCCGAGGAAAGAAAAAACGTGCCCACGGTGCGAGCGAAGGACGCCTGGACGCCTGGGGGCCGGGGGCACCCCCTGGCAGCCTCCCGCGGCTGGGAGCGCGCGCGCGGCGGTGCCGGGCGGCGGCGCGAAGAGGGGGGCCGAGGGCTATGTTGCTCCCATACTACTTGAGGACCACATCCCAGCAATAATTTCGAGCACCCGGAGAAGTGTCGAAGCAGTATCGAAACAGTGTCGGGCGAGTGTCTCCCAGGGCCCGGCACGTGAGAACCCTGGAGTTTAGTACTTTTTTTCTGGCGCTCGAAATCCTTTCTGCTGGTCAAGGCTAAAGTAGGTTGGAACATTATAAGCCGAGGGGCCAGGATTAGGTCGGGCATGTCCTCCTACATGCGTAACTGCCAAACAACAAATAAATAACTATTCCAACTTATCCTGGCGAAGGACCCAGCCATATGCAAGTGTGAGTGCCGCAGTTGTGAGCCCCGCCTTCCGTAGAGCTCCCTGTGGGTCCATGAAACGCGTGAGGGGTGTGCATAAGCGGGTGCGGTGGCGCCATGCGAACGCTGCCGCTGGGGCCTTCCGTGGAGCTCCCTGTGGGGCCACGAAACGTGTGAAGGGTGTGCCGAAATGGGCGCGGTGGCGCCATTCGAACCCTGCCACTGGGGCCCTCGGTGGAGCTCCCTATGGGGCCACGGAACGTGCGAGGGGGGTGCCGGCATGGGTGCGGTGACGCCATGCGAACCCTGCCACCGTGGCCTTCGGTGGAGCCCCCCTATGGGCCCACGAAGCATGTGACCCGTAGGGTACGACCTTCTCATGGGCAGCGCGCCGCGAAAGGAATGGAGCGCGGGGCAGCGCGCATGGAGGCCGCGAAACGTGCGAGGGGCGTGCTGAACTGGGCGGGGGGACGCAGGCGAACCCTGCCGCTGGGGCCTTCGGTGGAGCTCTCTTTGGGCCACGAAGCGTGTGAGGCCGAAACGGGCGGGGGGACGCATGCGAACCTTTCCACTGGGGCCTTCGGTGGATCTCCCTATGGGGCCACGAAGCGTGTGACGGGTGTGCCGACACGGGCGGGGGGACGCGTGCGAACCCTGCCACTGGAGCGTTTCGGTGGAGCTCCCTTTGGGGCTACGAAGCGTGTGAGGGGTGTGCCGAAATGGGCGGGGTGACGCATGCAAACCCTGCCACTAGGGCCTTCGGTGGAGATCTTTTGGGGCCACGAAGCGTGTGATGGGTGTCCCGAAATAGGCAGGGGGACGCGTGCGAACCCTGCCACTAGGGCCTTCGGTGGAGCTCCCTACGGGGCCACGAAACGTGTGAGGGGTGTCCCGAAATAGCCTGGGGTACGCATGCGAACCCTGCCACTGGGGACTTCGGTGGAGCCCCCTAAGGGGCCACGAAGCGTGTGAGGGGTGTGCCGAAATTGAACCGGATGAAGGATGGAGTCAGCACGACTGAGAGCAGGATGGAGGATGGAGGGGGAGGAAGAGGAGGAGGATGAGGAGGAGCAGGAGGAGGAGGAGTAGGAGGCGGAGGAGGCGGAGGAGGAGGAGGGGGAGGAGGAGAGGAAGAAGAACGCGGGGCGCTGTCTCTTCGAAACGAGGACCCAACATTACAGGATGTTGGCGAAACAATTAAAAGTAGTCAGCAAAATCGTCCCCAGACTGTTGTTCGACTATTTCAGAATATTCCTCCTGTAGAGGGACATGCCCTACGCAAGGTCAGGAGGATCTGCGATTGGACGTCACAGGCACAATGCAGCATCGTCCCCGAGGCTAGAAGAAGCAACGACACAGACAGAACCCGTTGGGGAACCGCGCGGGATTCTTGGATTGGCGCTGGATTCTCCTCCAAGGCGGTGCCGGAGGCGCCGCCAGAGGGGCCCCAGCGCCGATTAAAGAAATCCGCTTGGACCCTCGAACATTGATGTTCATACAAATGTTTCTTCTTCGACAGATCCTGGCGCCCCATTTTTTTTTGTTGAGCCGCCAGGCGCTTTCGCAAACCTTCGGGCCGCGGGAACCTCACAGATCGGTCCGGCCCTCACAGATGGATCTGGCTCGACAAATGGCGCAGAAAGATGGAGTCTGTGGCTCTGATCGTGATTTTTCACGATGTTGCTACTTCGGATCTCATTTGGACGTCCTGGAGCGTCAACATGTGCTCAGGATGGGCCAAAAGAGCGGTGATGCAAGGGCAGCCTTGATGAAGCAACGCACCCTTGGTACGGTCGGACCTAGGACAGAAGAACATCCCTCAAGAACCTGAGACCCTCCGCCGGCCCAACCACACAGAACATCCAAGGGTACCCTCCCCAGGATGCACAAGAGCATCCAGCAAACACGAAGAACAGGCTAGGGGGGGGCCGCGGCGGGCTGTCCTTGGGCTGGGGGAGGAGGAGGGAGGACGAGGGAGGAGGAGGGATGAGGAGAGTGAGGGGGAGGAGGAGGAGGAGGAGGAGGAGGAGGAGGAGGAGGAGGAGGAGGAGGAGGAGGAGGAGGAGGAGGAGGAGCCTTGAGTATGGATCTTGACTGGCTATCCAGGTGCCCTTTTCGAGGCTCCCGCGGGGGGCCCTCGTGGCCAGCGCTCGGCGCGGCCCGACGGGCTGGCCGGCAGGGGTCTGGGAGGAGTCGGGGGTTAGGGTGGGCATGTCCTCCTACGGGCGGGTTTTGGAAGAAAAACAAAAAAACATAAAAAACGACTTGTTGCATAAGAGCGCGAAAACTCGTCACCAGGCTACTCGATTTATTCTGGACAATACCTCCTGTAGAGGGATTGGCCCGACTTGAGTCTGAGGACCAATTTCGAGCGGCGCTGGCCCGGGGGTGGGGCAAGGGACGAACCTTGCCAACAAGAAGCCGAGAGGCCCCCGAGGAGGGTCCCGCCCAGGAAGCATCTGAGGAGCCAGGAGCGCTTCACTACGGATTGCCCAGGTGGGAAGTGCAAAAACATACTGGTGCTATGTGTCCTCCTCGGAGGCGCGCGTCCGACCCCGACATGTTGTACATCAATCTTTTAGTATGCCGTTATGGTCAGAAGCCGCCTGCCACGGAGTGTATAGTTACTAGAATATTTCTCGGCGCGACTGTCGCCCCTCTGGGGGCGACGCGCACATAGTATCGATATTCTGAGGAGACGCTGGCAAGAGGCGGGGGTGCCTTCTGAGAAGGCGCCCAGGGTTAGGTAGGAAGGAAGAGCCAAACGTAGCCCCAAACGATGCAAAACAAACTTAAACTCAGAATCGAAAACTCGTCCCCAGAATCTGTTTTTAATATTTTGGAATATTCAGCCCGCAGAGGGACATGCCGGACTTAAGCCCAGGGCTGGGCACTGCGAACCCAGTCGCCTCGTGGCGGCCCCGGGCCCCGAAGAGAACAGGACGCCAATTGGACAGGAACCAAAGCGCAGAGGTTCGGGCACAAGCTAACAGTGGAGACCCATGCCAAGAAACACCCTGCTTGCCATCCAGGGTGCTCTGGGTTTCTTGGGCTTCGATGGTTTCTTTTGCGATGAAAATCGTGACGTTCCCACATCAGAAATCGATGGACGTCCTGGGGTCTCAAGGCTGGTTTCTTGTGGGGAATTTCTTGTGGACTGGCCCCTACCGTGACACGTGCTAGGGATCCGTGGACCAAGCGCGTGGGCGCCATATCTGAGTATCGTTGAAACGATGCCCATCCCTCGCGGCGCGGCCTGGACCCCACTGGCCGATTAACCCCCCCCCAAGATGGGGATCTGGGTCGCTCCCTGCGGCTTTCGAGGGGCGCATCCCCAACTGGGGGGGGGACTCTGGTGGGGATCTCGAAGGGGACGGGGATGGGGATGGGGACCGTTGGAACGACACTGGATCGGGGAGCGCAGCCCATGGCGCCCGTGCCGCCCGACCTGACGACGCAGCGTGCCGGCCCTGGCACGGCAACGGGGCCCGTCGCGAATCCACGCGCCTCGAATCCCGGTCTTGCGCTTCCTCGGAAGGTTCGGCGCTGGAGGCGGCCGGGGGGTCCGAACTATAGTGGGGGCCCCACCGAATCGGTCCGGGGGGAGGACGGACCCAAGTCTGCTCAAGACCGATGCCCCGAAGCCCCCCCCCCAAGGTCCAACTGGCGCAGCTTTGCACCCCGGATCCATCTTGAAGGCCCCGGGGCCCGACAACGGCCCCCGGAGCCCCAAAAAGGTTAGCAGCAAAAAGCCTCCCCGAATCCCAAACCTCCCACCTACCCGACCCCCTCCTGCTGGCGGGAGGCAGCGCTGGGCCACCTCTCGCCGAGCGCGCTCCACTACTCGCAGAGTGCCTACTCGCAAACGTGCGAAAACCACCTGCCTGTTTGGGTGTGATTCACTGAAGATCCCCCGCGGGCGATCCAGGCCCTTTGCGAGTAGTTACTCCAGATTTCGTAATAAAGGGAGAGGGGTCTCATTGCGGGGGGGGTCTCTTCCAGGCTATCTTGGAGGGCCTGGGGGGTCTGGGGACGATGTTTTGGAGGGTTCTCCCACGGGGGAGGTCTGAAATGGCTTGTCTTGGAGGGTCCAGACCCCCTCCCTTTTACTACGAAATCTGGAGTACTCTGCGAATCGTGGCACGCGCTCGTCGAACCTCAGACCCCCCGACGGCTCCGAGTTCGAGGGCTTGCTCCCTCGGCCGGCGGCCATGGGCCCCTGGCCCTGCCCCGGCCCCGCCGCGCGCGCCGCCGGGCGGGCAGGGGGACGCCGGCGGAGAGGGCCCAGGCCTGGAAGCAGGGCTCGACGCAAACTTAGGTCGGGCATGCCTCCCTGCAGGCGGATTCGGGCAGAAGAATTCCAAAGGAATCGAAAGTGCTCCACAATGGCAGAAACAATAGTAGGAGGATTTCAAAAGAATCGAAAGTGCTCCACAATGGCAGAAACAATAGTCGAAAACTCGTCCCCAGAACATCTTCGCATGCTCCTCCGGCAGAGGGAGGCGCCCGGCTCAAACCCAAACGCCGTTTTCCGTCTTCGCTCCGTCTGTGTTTTTCCCCGTGCTGTCTTCGTTCCGCCCTCACAGCAAAGCTGCATCAGAACGCAAGGGGGTCCACGAGATCGCCCAAACACCGTTTAGGTCGAGGCCTGCCTTGTACACCGCGCCG